AACGACTTCCTTTTTTGCATTACCTTGCTGTACAAACGAAACTTGTGATGACACATGATGTCACACATCCACTGCTTGTCTTCTCTACCTGGGCTCTTGTACATAGCACTATAGGAGAAAGCAGTTTAGCAGTGGCAGCTTGGTGGTACAATAGAGGGTAGATACTACCGCTGACACATAGACTTGCTTTCATTTCTCTCTTTCTTTTGGGATTCTGCAGAAGACACTGAGATGAGAGACGAAGGTTAAGACCACAACTGTATTATACCGTAGTTGAATGGTGGTCTGCTTCTACTTTCCGGTTTTCTTTTTCCTTGTGGTTTTCTTTTCTGCATAACATTTGAAGTGTGAGGCAGTGACTGTCCTGTTTTGGGGCTTGACCGGTGATGTCTCACCTTCAAACCGGACTGCGGAATTTTTTGTAAGAGACGCCAGGCTCGTTTCCTGGCTCTGTAATATAAGGGACGCCGGGCCCGATTCCAGGTCTGTTGTATAAAAAAAAAAAAAAAAAAAAAAAAAAGAAAAAAAAGAGAGAGAGAGAGAAAAAGAAAAAGAAGGCGCAGCAGAGTGTAACTACCCTTCGACGGTAGAGTGATCCGTGTGAGGACCCCACTACCCTTCGACGGCACAGTGATCCATGCGAGAACCCTATATATGGCATCGCTGCTGAGTGCAACCCACAACACCGTGTGGAGTCTTTCTTGGGGGGCGAGAAGCAAGAAGAAGAGGCGGCCGCCTCTCAGACCCCCCACGGCGGTATGGCATCACTGTACTCCTGTTCCCGATTGTGGGTTCAGGCAGAGCTCTCTCTCTCTCTCTCTCTCTCTCTCTCTCTCTCTCTCTCTCTCTCTCTCTTTGTGTGTGTGTGTGTGTGTGTGTGTGTGTGTGAGGTTCATGACTGTGGTCATAGGAATGTGATTTGCGATTGCGGTGATGGCGTGTGTGTGACTGTACTCCTGTGGGCAGACAGATGAGAGGCATTTGCTCGGGCCTACCGCTGCACACCCGTAGAAGATGTAGCGTCGAGCTCCCCGTGAAATTGTCCGGAGATGGGTATTACCCAAAATTTGTGCTCAGTGGACGATCATAAGCGACTGACGCTCTTGCACG